ATGGTCCAGACAACGGTGAGGCACTCTTTTTCTGTAGTAGAGTAATTCTTTTCGGCAGGAGACATAGTTCGACTAGCATAAGTGATAACTTGCTCTTTCTTATCCTTGTCCAGTTGCGACAAAATAGCACCAAGGGCATACCCGAATGCATCGGTAGACAAAATGAATGGCCTATCAAAATCAGGAAATACTAAAACAGAGGCTGATATCAGACAATATTTTTTTCAATAACTTATTTAGCAGGGCAGCAACCTTAGTAAAACTTTGACAAATCAACAATAATATAAGGCCAGACCCAGAAATCTACGAAGCTGGTACAAATTATGGGGGATGGAAAACTCTTGAATCGCTTTTATTTTTTCAGGATCTGTTGAGATTCCTTCAGCACCGACAATATACCCTAAAAATTTTAATCTCTTCTTTGCAAGAAAATATTTAATAGGTTTAAGTTTAAGATTAGCTTGTCGCAGAATAGAAAAAACTTAATGAAGATGATCCAGGTGGTCGGGAAAAGAAGAAGAGAAAACATTGATATCGTCTAGATAGACTATCTCTTAGTCCGTATTTGGGGCAAATTTGCCCGAATTTCTGGTTCCTGGCAAATTGTCTACACTACTATTAAAATTTACTATAAGTACCCCCTATTGTTTGTGGCACAGTGTATGCACATGTAACTGCTACACTTGTTTTGATGTATCTTTGCCGCAAACAAAAACAATAAGGTTCAACGAACTTTTAAAATGTTCTTTGAATAAAAGATCAACACTTTTAATTCTCTAAATTTTTTTTTTTTAAAAAAAAAAACAACTTACACTATGTCCGACAGTGATAGTATTGCTGATAATGATACTTCTAATGATGAGTATGATGCTGCCGATGATAACTCTTCACCTGATTTGCAATATTTTACCTTTAAATATAATACAGTAAGACCTCTCTAAATGCACCATCTATAAGTGCACACCCTCTCTAAATGCACATTCAAGTGCCAACCCAAATATATACTTGACCTCCATAAATGCACTTTTTCTTATTATTCTCTATATGCACGTTATTAAAGTGTGGTCCCAAGGGCGTGCACTTAGAGAGGTCTGACTGTAATCATGGAGAGACAATTGCATATGTTACTAAAAATTTTAACCTACCTATGAGTCGACTTTTTCCAGGAATCATCTAGTAGAATGGCGAAAAAAAAGAGAATCATGTCTATATTGTCATTATTTAATAAAAAATAATGACAAAGATAAAAAAAAAAATAAAAATTGTGCAATTTTCCAGACTCAACTCTGGTGTATTAGATGTAGTGTACCTCTTTGTTCCTCTAATGTATGACCTCATTGTTTTAAAGATTTTTATAGTAAAAAATAAATAAATTTATTAAATATTTGTTTTTTATTGTTTTTTACTGATTTTGGAATCGATTTATACTAGATTAATTATAATTAAATTATGTAAAAATGATCATATAAAATTAGGGGCAAATTTGCCCTGAATTTATATACAGACTAAGGGATAATAAATCTCTTGTTAGCATCACAAAAAAGGTGGTCCATTAGCCTTTGGAAGGTAGCAGGAGTGTTGGCCAAACCAAAGGGCATAACATTAAACTCGAAAGTTCTATACTCAGTCTAGAGGTTGGAACCGGTTTTAATAATTCGAGTTTATCACTTGAATTTTGTGATATTTTAGAATTTATTAAAATTTAATTGGATTAAATTCTAAAATATCACAAAATTCACGGGATAAACCCGAATTATTAAAACCGGTTCCAACCTCTAACTCAGTCACAAATGCAGTTTTCTTTTTATCACTTTTACTCATCTCGATTTGCCAGTAACCGGACACGAGATCCAGAGATGAATACTATGAGGAACTACACAGAATATCCAGTAAATTATCTACCCAGGGCAAAGGGTAGTTATCCTTCTTGGTGACAGAATTCAACTGTCTATAATCGATACAGAACCTGGTCTTATTCTTCTGATGTACCAAAACTACAGGGGACGTCCAAGACCCTATAGAGGAACGTATGATCTTTTCTCTTAACATATGACCAAGCTTCTTTTGGAGATAATGTCTCTCCTTAGGGAAATGCCTGTATGGTCTTTGTTTAATAGGCAAAGCATCCCTTGTATTAATAAAGTGACAGGTTATACTAGTTCGCCCAAGATCACCTAGAGACCACGCAAAAACATCATGGTTATGTTGAAGAAGAATTTCTAATTCTGTTAAGAGGGGGGTCCAAGTCAGGAAAGTTGAAAGACTTATAATCATCATTTTCCTCATAGTTGGTCAACTCAATAATATCATTGGGGTGATTAAAAAAAATTAAATCATCAAGATAAGAAAAGCTAAGAGGCTTGCTAAGAGAATTAACGTAACTGTGAGGGGTATCGGACTCGACACATATTTTAGAAAAAATATTCAACTTATTTTTGATAATCATATCATCATTCTTACTATAATATTTATTAAAGAAACCACCTTCATTTATTTCAAAAAAATTAAAAATTCGATTCTCAAGCTCTTCTTCTTCAAACTCTCCTTCATCGATATCTTCTTCAGACTCACTATTTTCAACCTCTTCTTCTAATTCAAGAATTCTCGAAGGGCGACTCTTTTCTAATAGCTCCTAGACGATATGACGACACTCTACAGATACGGTTATTTCTTTATCATCCCAAGTCAAGATCATTTTGAAAGACGCCCAATCAATCTTGGCATGGGTTTTGCTAAGCCAATCATTACTGACAATAGCTTGATATGAATTGGCATCTGTTACAACTACATCTATCGGGATAGTTATTCTGGCAACAACAAATGGGAAATCAGAAATTTCACCAACGGCTCTCTTACTCTCACCATGAACATTTACCATATAAATGGCAGAAGGCCTTTTAACCTTTATACCTAGTCTATGAAGCAGATACGACGATACAACACTTTCTGAGGACCCGCTGTCGACAATCAGAAGAATAGTTTCACCAAGGACTTGAGTATCACAGTATAAGGCAGTGGACTTATGGTTGGAATAGAGACTAAGATTACTCTTAGTTCTTCGCTTGACACTCAATTTTTGCTTCTGTAATCCCTTGGACAAATCAGCTCTCATGAATGAAAAGGCTCTAAGTAACTGGCCAAAGGTTATATTGGCAGGTTTATCTCAAAGGTCCGTGACTATAGAGTATGGAGGCACAAGGAACGATATCTGAGGCAAAATTTCTGACTCATTCTTCTTATAAGAGACTATATTTTTCTTAGGGGACTTACTAGGAACTTTAGACTTATCATTATCCTTATTCTGCTCTGGTGGGTTCTGCAATCCTTCGACAGGTCTTCATCTTGATAGGCGGTTCTTCAGATTATACTCTAACATGTTTTTGGCTTCTGGTATCATATTGTTTAGAAGTGACACTGTTAGCAAAGAAAGGAGTATCTTTCTCGGGAATATGGACAAAGCCTTAGTTATTATTAGCAGATGTCTGGCCAAGGTTAAAGTTACCCATTAAAGCTAATAAAGTTTGAAGAGCCTCTTGCTGAGGCTGTTGGTTATTGTTATTGGTGGCATTATCATGATTGGGTGGCTGGAGATTATTATTGTTATTATTATAATTATTGTTAAAGGGGTTCCTATTATTATTATACTGGGGTTCCTATTATTATTACCATTGTTGTTATTAAAATTATTTCTGTTGGGGCAAATAGGGGCGATGTGATCAGTTCTACCACAGTTAAAACAAATTATGTTATTTCAGGGAGGGTTTCTTGGAGGTGGCCTACTGTTTTCTTTAATCTGGGTTACTGTGTTGTTGAGG